GGGAAGTAAAGGCGGCGTGGAATGGAACTGGCCACCCTACCGCACTATATGCCGAAGTCCCAGGAAGTTGTCTCACTTTCAAGGCAATCCCCAAAGTCCGGATCGGATGCGGTAAGAACTTTACTTTCTAATATATATATATTATTTTTTGGGGGGTCTTTTTTGTCGATGGTAGTGAGGTTTTTGTTTTTGTTTTGTTTTTTTTGTTGTTGTTTTTTGGGGGGTTTTGCTTGTTTGTTTCTCAATTTTTCAAACATTGTCTATGGGTGGTTGGCGGGTGCTCTGGTGTGGTTTGCTTCTTCTTTCCTATCGTCTTTATCTCCCCTCCTTCTTTTTTGTGTTTGTTACTCTCTTGTAACACTTCTACTCTTCGGCACTTGTATGACCTTATTGTGTTGCAAGTGCCGTAAAACACTTACTAAAACTAAACTCCTCTATTCGATTATGACCTGGTTCTAAACTTTTGCTCCAAAAACCAATACTGATCAGCTGTCAGGGCATCTGTGGCCGATCTCATGAGGATCGCCTTGACTTTGACTTTGACACTAATTTGCAATGTTCCTTTTCTGTCTGTTAGTATGTTTTGAGCGTTTCAACGTTGTTTTTTTTTCGTTCCAGTTTTATTTTATATTTTTTCAAACATTATCTGCCTTTTGTGTTATTCTCTCAAGTTGTGTTATTTCCTTCCTTCCTTCCTTATAATTTATTTAGTTAGTTGGTTGGTTATCCCGTGTGGCTCCTGGGACCCTGTCCAAGAGTCAAGGCAGAAAAGAATAAAAACCACTGTGTCCGTACCACGCCAGTCGTAGAAGGCAACTAAGGCCGGTTGGGCAAAGGGTTAGCAGCCCTTTCCCGAGAAACAAAAAACAAAAACAGCTGCAAAAAAGTCAACAGCAAAAACACGACCGCCAGTTCTGGAAGATGGAGGGCCTTCTTCACCGACATGGAAACATCTAGAAAAGGATGCACAGGACTGGCTTCACCGGAGAAATTTTGTTTTAAAAAAGGGCAAGAGAGTGAGTTTGTTGATTTGTTTGTTTGCTTATTTGTTGACAAGGATTGTTACTTCCTTTTATGAAAATAATTGGTGTGTTGTTGTACAACAAAAATATACATTTATTTTATGTGATGGCATGGCCAAGAGTTTGATCATCTCTAGTCGATTTTTATATCTGAAGTCGCTAGAATACTGACCTCTAACGAGATACGGTTTAAAAAATAGCGTTGTGTAGTCTTACAGATGTCTTGGTTTGCAGGCTAAACAAATTCTCCCTGTGCGCGGTTGGCGTGTGCTCTGGCGTGGTTTGCTAGTTCTGTCCTATCAAAAATCTATCATCCTGCCCATTATCTCCCAATTCTTCTTTTTGTGTTTATTACTATTATTACTATTACTCTCTTGTAACAACTCTAAATTTCGATACTTACATACCCAGCAAGCCAATCACAATCTAATATTTTTGGGGTCCACCTAGACACCATGACTACGTAGACCCCAATTGGGGAGTACCTAAACACTCCCCCCCCCCCCAAAAAAAAAACTTAAGACACGTACATGACTTTATTGTGTTGCAAATGAGCTAGATGCCCTCGGGAATTCCCGATGTGCACAGGGGACATCGCACTGTGCAAGATGGTACCCGGAAACGGAAGTTGGTTGGCCTAGTGTAGCAGCAAGCTGTGCAGACTTTTATTTTTGCACCTCGAGCCTACGTGTAGATTTTCCTTTTGCAGGCGCTTTTCGTCCTCCCAGAGTTGAAACTGGGAGGGGCTTTGAATAAAAGCGGTTTGGGAGCGGTTTGGGAGCGGTTTGGCAGTAAAAACAGCTTTTCCTTTTCCAGGGAATCTTCTTTCTTTAATTTCAGAAAGAGTTAGAAAGGAATTGGTCAGTAACTCAAAGTCTTTAGATCTGACAAGATCTAGATTATACATCTAGAATCTAGATTCTAGATCTATATCTAGATTCTATATCTAGATCTAGATTAGATTCTATATCATGAAAAAGTAAAGGCTCGGAACATTTGAAAAGAAAAATAAGACAAAGAAATCGTAGCATGAACGAACATCAAATTGTTTAAAAGAAACCTCTTGGTGCACGGTAATACGAAACGATTCATGTGCGTTCTTGAAAGCTGAAGACTCCAGGCTGGACCACTAGATCTAGATCTAGATTCTAGATCTAATGTTTTGTGCTGTTCTATATTTTTTCCTTTTTTTAACAGTTTCAGAATAAAAACTTGTATCGAGCCACATGGTTGAATCCATGCATAGTTATAGCTTGAGTTAGAGAGCAGTAGATAGGCGGTTGGTCTAATGATGCAGTTCCTTATTTCCTATGCTTTTTCACTGGCTTTGTGTCAACTCGCCACAAACTGTATTTTCTGGATTGTAGTGGCCCAGGGTGCATAGATCTCAACTAGCCCAGTGCACATTGATCTCATCTATCCCAAAACACATGGATCTCAACTATCCCAAAACACATGGATCTCAACTATCCCAGGGCACATAGATCTCAACTAGCCCAGTGCACGTAGATCTCATCTATCCCAGGACTCATAGATCTCAACTATCACAAAACACATGGATCTCAACTATCCCAGGGTGCATAGATCTCAACTGGCCTAGTGGACATTGATCTCATCTATCCCACGGCACATAAATCTCAACTATCCCAGGGCAGATAGATCTGATCTATCCCAGGGCACATAGATCTCAACTATCCCAGAACACATAGATCTCAACTATCCCAGGGCACATTGATCTCAACTATCCCAGGACTCATAGTTCTCAACTATTCCAGAACACATAGATCTCAACTATCCCAGGGCACACTGATCTCAACTATCCCAGGGCACATAGATCTCTACTAAACCAGAGCACAACCATCCCAACTAGCCCAGGGAACATAGAGCTCAACTTTAAACTCTGCGGAACAAAGCAAGAAATGAGGAAATTAACAAACATCACGATAAACAATAAACCAAAAGGAGAACTATTTAAAGAAAACATTCACGGAATTGGGCCTAGAACCGCAATATAGCCTCAGTATCTGTGGCTGCTGACATTTTGAAATGGCCCGTGTGTCTGATCAACTGTGTGCAAAAAATTAAACTTATTATTTCATTCAACTGTACAAATCACCCCCACCCCACCTCTCCGCTTTTTTTTCCTGTTCCCCTCTGACCTTCCCACACCAAATTTTGCCTCAAATCATTAAACAAAACAGAAATGCATGTATAAATACCCTGCCTTGCATGTTCGTTACAGAGAGTGTGTTTGAAGAAGTAATACAACAAGGGGTAAAACGTTGCAGTTGACACAGTTTTTGAGTGTTCGTGTCCTGCGAGCGACAGACTTGGAAGCAAACATCGTGATATCATGTGATCTCTCCCGGTCCTGAAACGGGCATGGCAGTCCTGAAGGTGGTCTCCCCTTCAACTTTGATATGATTGGCGATGGAAGAAGAGGTGAGCACACGTTTTCTTTGATGAAACTAACAATACATTCAATCTATTCCTATTTAATCTCTTTACTTTCTTGGCAACGTCACATTGGAAAGTGGGTGGTTTTCGGGTGCTCTGTTGGGGTTTGCTCCTTTTCCCCTATCAAACATCTATCGTCCTTATCTCTCCCCCTTCTCTTTAGTGTATGTTACTCTCTTGTGACACCTTTAATCTTCGGCATATATGTGACCTAGTTGTGTTGCAAAGTGTCGTAAAACTCTTGCTAAATCAAAACTCATATTGGAAATGAATTGGGACCTGACTTTGTCTAGAAGGGGTTTTTTGCCTACAACACACTTTACATTGTTCCTGTTGTTGTTTACTTTGAAGTCACAGGTGCTGATCTCCAAACACATTTATTTCTCCGCAACATTAGATGATTGATTGTCGACATGTGCGTTACACCCCCATGACATTCGAATCTCTTTCGAGGTGGGCAATGTCTATTTTCCCTCTCAGGGATTTTTTTTTCTTTTTTTTTTTTTGGGGGGTGATAGTACCAACGTGTGTAAATGAGCATGATGTGTGGGCATTGCGTGAGTGTAATAATCTTTGTGAGGCAGCGTGGTGGAATCAGGCTCTCGCATTTTTCCGCAGGTTTGTGAATTTTTATAAAATTTATGTTTGCAGGCTCAACACCTTTCATGCCCTTTAAAGAACTAATTTGTGTGGATTTTTCTGAAAAACGTTGATTACAGGTACAAAAAATGTAAATTTTCAGTTACCACGGACTCTAAAGCTAAGGAAATAACTAATTTTTTCACTAATTTTACCTCTGAAAACAGGTGACCCCCACCTCTTTCTTTCGCAAATATCTCGACACATATTCAATATAAATGGATATTTTTTTCATCTATACAAAGACAAGTGAACAAGCTATAAGATGATACCAATAACTGTACATGCCCAAAAATTGACGAGAGCCTGATTCCACCACGCTGCCTCACTTATGTTTATGTTACAAAACAGTAATATGAATTGCCTGTTCTCAAATGAGACTGCAGTTGAGTTGTCCGGCTCGTTCAAGCGAGATACGGCGGACTATCAGTTATTAGGGACCGTTCACAAATGAAGTAAGCTACAATTTGGCCAAAAATGACCCCTCCCTCCCCCGTTGTCATCTTATGCCGT